ATTTTATGTGCTCATGAATGTTTCTTACAATACTTAAATTTTAATTCGGCATATAACAATTGCATTTCAATGATTTAGTTTGTTTTTTAGTCTATTTGGTTTTATATTTTCATTATACAACATCATTATTTTTTTTTTGTTAATCTATACATAAAGAATGTCGTTTATATTTTCAAAACATTTTACATATTAATCCGAATCAACCTAACATTATAAATTATTAACTATTTGAAAATCATTGGTCAATGGTTATGTTTTTTAATTATCAATATTTTTTTAATTTGTTGACCGTGGTTTCCACGAGTTATAACCTAGTAAATTGTATATATTAGTTATTTTAAGAAAATAAATTTTCAATTTAATTAAAATTTTGATAATTTAGAATAATTATTCATGTCAATGGAATAAATACACACATCCGCATAAGGAACGAAAATAAATAAAATGGGAGCATGTAAAAATGAAAATAACACGTAAATATTGTTGGATAAATGTGCAAAATATAAATAGTAAACTTTTATTGCTAATTATATATAAGATTATAGGATCACACTGAAAACTATAAAAAGGTTTTATAACTAAATGATAGTGCTCAATTATTGTCTACCAACTAAAACATAGATATAGTTTGTTACAATAAAACAAAATAAATAAAAAAGTTTATTTATTAATTGAATAAAATATGTTTATTTAATATAACCAATTAATAAATTAGAAATAATTAATTAAATATGTTTGGCAACTTGATTAAATGCTTGAATGTTTTCCATAAGGGAGTTGATTCTGCCACAGTAAACTTTAATCCATCCACGTATTTTGACAGTAAATTGACAATTATACCCCTAAATAAATTTAAACATAATGAAGCGAGAGAAAATCAATGTTTCCAAAAGACACACGCACAGGCGCTGCTTCAGCCGACAATCCTTCGTCGATGCAATTAGTCTTCCTCCCCCAACCTCATTCTTCCTCCGTCTTCACCGTAAGATCCCATGTTTCCAAAATGACCATGACCACACACCGTCGGTTACCACCACCAACCGCAACCACTTCTGAATCAAAACCCACCGCCACAGCTCCCAAAAGCGCACCAATTTCTGACCCACAAATCACATTACTCCTCTCAACCGAATAAACCTCAATCTTCAAGACGCTCAATTTATCAACAAGCTTATCAATTTCCTATTTCTTCAAATTAAAGCAAGCTTGAATATTAGTTCTGAGAAATTGGTAATCCTTACTTCCTTCTTATATTCCTCTTCTTAGAAATTGTTTTTCTGTTGTTTTTTGATATGGATTGATATGCATTTGATTATGTATTTTTTTTCTTGAATTTGATTTCGGTAGTGTTGGGATTTATCCTTTTGAGGTTTTTCAGTAGCGGGAAGTGAAAGTTGTAAGCTTGGCTTTACTCTTAAAATCATTTGATTAGACTCTAGAGTTTAGTTATTGATTCATATTAGTTGATCATCATCCTCGTTCCAGTGGCGTTACTAATACGACATGTAAAAAGAAGGCTGCAGACATTGGTGGTAAGCTTTTTGTAATCACCACCGACCCTTTAATGGGTTTAAATTATGCTTTGATCCTGATGACCTTGAGTTTTCTACTGATTTATGTGTAATATTCTAATTTCTAATCATAAATATAGTAAAGTAGAGAAAGAGCTTTAATCTTTGTTCATTGGCTTATGATACAAGGTGATAATTTGTGTATTAGGTTATGTGAGTTTGGGAATCAATAAACGGATTGATGAAGTTCTTTGTTTATTAACTTTTCTGCTTTATTGTTTTTCTCTAATTTCTGGATATAATCTTGACGAAGATGAATGATGGACTTTGTAAACTATTGATATCCAAATCAAACAATATTATTGGAAATTATTCAAAATTGATGAACAATATTGCAACGGAGTTTTGCAAATGCTCAAGGTAGTAGTCATGTCCACCATTAAAAGCATGGAAGAGGTACTAATATATTGTTGAATTGAAGGAAGGAGGTAAACGTTGGCTTCATGGTAAGTTTTTGGAAACAAAAATATATTCTCTCTCTTAAATATTTATAAATTAAAATTAAGGGTATAAATGTCAATATATAATTTTTTCGTGGAAGGATAAAAAGCCTTTAGTGGAAAAATCACCACCCTTTCCATAAAGAACCATTAATACAAATACATAAGAAAAACAACTTATGATTTTTGGTAAGTATACAAAAGAAACCCTAAAGGTGGAGGGAATCATTTCCTCCCAACCTCACCCGACATATCAATTTTTTCTCTCTATTTTTTCTTCTATCGTACCCAATCCACTACACAAGTAACTCATCTTTCCGAACCCTCTCATTTTTTTTATTAAAAAAACTATTAAAACATTTACTAAAGCCATAATAAAGTGGTTAAATGATAACCGAAATCCTAAAACGATAATTAAAATCCTAATATACGAGTAAGAAGTAGATTGGGTTACCAATTTTTCACGAGTGAAATCGATCTTCTTTAATTACTTTCGAGACAAGTTTAAAAAAAAATCATTATTGATGTTGTGACAAGGAGTCCACGGTTTGGTGATATATTGGCAGAACAGACACAATCTAGAAAAGTGTGCCACAATTGAGGAAGTCAAAGATGCGATTTGGTTGTGTGGCAATGACAAGACTCCAATTCCGGATGGTTATTCCTTTTCTTTTATTAAATCTTATTGGGAGATGCTTCATAGAAGACATTTTTGCTTTTGTGGAAGATTTTTTTGCTCATGCTAGAATATCATCCGGTTGCAATTATTCTTTCCGTACATTAATTCCAAAGACTGATAACCCATTAGTTGTTAGTGATTTTTGCCCTTATCAGTCTCATTTGAATTCAATATAAAATAATTGTTAAGATTCTAGCTTTACGTTTGGTTTGAGTGATTGACTCGATTATTAGTTATGAACAGTCTGCTTTTATTAAAGATCGACGGATCTTAGATGGTCCCATGATGATTAACGAATTGGTAGAATGGTATAAGAAAAAAATGCAAAAAGTTGATGTTTCTAAAGACTGATTTTGCTAAGGCTTACGATACGGTCGTCTTTTTTGGATAGAATGTTGCAGTTCATGAATTTTGGTTCAAAATAGAGGTCTTGGATTCGTGTCTGGCTAATTTCAACTAGAGCTTCTATTCTTTTAAATAGGAGTCCTACTGAGGAGTTTTAAATTCAACGGGCCTTCATCAGGGTGACCTTTTGTCCCCTTTCTTGTTTTTAATCGTTATAGAGGGGTTACATGTGGCAATTGAAGATGCATCATCCGCTAACTTATTTTTAAGGGCTCAAGTTGGAAAAGTAATTTGAATTTGTCCCACCTTTTTTACGCAAATGATGCAATTTTCATTGTTGCTTAGAAGAGAGATAATATTACAAACTTAGTTCAAGTTTTGCACTATTTGTACATGGTTTCGAGTATGAAAATCAACATTCATAAATCGAATCTTTATGGGGCGTGTGTTTCAAATAGAGGCGTACAAGATTTTGCTTCAGTGGTGGGTTGTAGAGACGACAAGTTTCCTTTCACGTATTTGGGTCTTCCTATGGGGCAACATGTCTAACATGTCTAGGGTGAAAGGATGTAAAGTTATTATTGACAGGTTCCAAAAGAAGCTTTTTAAATGGAAAGTTTCGACCCTATCAATTGGAGGTAGATCGATGCTCATTAAATATGTTCTAAGGTCTCTTGGTATCTATTTTGTCTTTATTTCTTATGCTTGTTCGAGTTGTAAAAAATTCTTGAAGTAGCATGTGCAAACTTTTTTTAGGGAGGGGATGAGGACAATTGAAAAATGTCTTGGATTAAATGGGATGTCGTTCTTGTTGATAGAAAACATGGTGGGCTGGATATTGGTAGTGTAGTTGCCTTTAATCTTCCTCTTATTCAGAAGTGGCGGTGAAGATTTTAAAATAATGACAACCCTCTTTGGGTTAAAGTCATTTAACAGTTGTTTTGTTCTAGTGGGGGTTTTCGCAGCTCTGGCTATACTGGGTCCGACCCTTGGTCTCGTGTTTTGGCTTCCAGTTCTCGGCTTTTAAACCGGGGCTTAGTGGTTGATTCTATTTTCAAGAAAGTAGTTGGTAATGAGATGTCTACAAAATTCTAGATTGATAGATAGATCGGAGATTCCTTTGATTCTAGATTTCCATGAATTTTCGAGTTAGAGAAACATAAAGAATGAAGGATTGTTGATAGAAGAGTAAATGGAGACTGGAACCGGTCTTGGAGATATTAATCACAAGGGTGAAGAAGTTGTACAATTTTCGACCCTTATGGAAGTTATTTAAAATGTTTCTTTGAATCATCAAACGGATAGGTGGTGCTACGAAATTGGTGAAGATGACTCATTTATGGTTGGAAACTTAAAGGAGGTGGATTGATGAAGTGGTCTTATCGTCTTTGGATCAGGAAACTAGATGGAATCATTTTGTCCCTAAAAAGGTAAATATTCTTATTTGGAGGGTTCTAAGGAATAGAATTCTAACTTGAATTAACTTAGAAAATAGAAATATGGATTTTCATTCGTGTTGTGCCCAATTTGTGACCTTAGCAAAGAACAATTTGATCATCTTTTCATAAGGAGTTAAGTGACAGCGAGAACTTGGAACGCTATATTTTCTTGGCTTGATCTTGATTAACTGGGTATATATTTGGTTGTTGGCTTGTTTAATACCATGAATAATAGTTTAATGTCATCAAGGAAGAAAATGGTGGTTGATGCGATCATTTGTATTACGATTTGATATGTTGGAGGTTTAGGAATAATATGGTGTTCAAAAAGTGAAATCATTGACTCGATTCAAGAGTTTTGTTTTTATGGTTTGCAAATTGAAACCATAGATGTTCGTTTGCTTGGTTAAATTGGCTTCAAAATCCTCTAGACTTTATGTAATTGTTTTTCTAATGTCTTGCTAGTTTTGTTTTTTATACATGGTTGGCATTAAAAAAATGAAAAAATAATATAAAAAAAAAAAGTACCGATGCATAACATATTAATTAACACTAATTCAGGGACATCTCCAATATTCGTTTCATGTAAAGATACAATTTATAATACATTTTAAATGAAATAATAATAACAATAAACAAACAAACAAACACCCCATTTATTTGAAGATTTATATTTCTTCACTCATTTCCAAAGGAACTCTATATGGGTTCTTGAATTCTTCAAGTGAAGGAAGAACCCTACCCGCATATAAACTCTTCACAATCCAATCAAACGGGACCACCGAAATCTTTTGCTCTACCGCACATTGCTTCAACTGACGTGAAATACCGATTTCGCCCTCCACAACAATCGCCCCTACCAATACCCTATTTGTCTCAAGTCTCTTCACCAACCAATGAAACGACTTGAACACCAACCCCCCTCCATGCCTCACAACTTTCTCCATTTTCATACAAAAATCATGTTTCCCATGAAGCATAATCGCAATATCTTGGAAAATTAATCTACTTGGCATCCGAATCCCAATTATCATGCTACAATTAATCACTTGTTCTTTTAAAATCATGTATTTCTTATGTGGTAAGATTGATCCTTCGTTGACTGAGTCAAACAGCCATTTGACTTTGAGAATACTCGCGTTGACTGCACACCCGTATAAAAACTTGGTTGTAAGCAGCCTTTTGGGACTCAAAATCACAGGAAGTCGATATTCTGAGAATTTTTTTTGTCTTCTAGAAGTTGAAGATGGAGGAGATGGAATATCATCTAAAACTATGCCACTGTTTTTTTGAATTAGATTCTTGATTTCTTTATGTTTCTTGATTGAAAAACCCGTAATTAAAAACTTAAGATCTTGGAATAAACGCGTTTTTTTGCATGTGAATGTGACTCGGGTTTTTTTTGTGTGAATAATTTCGGGTTCTGAAAAACGGACACGTTTTCTCATTGGAACTACACAGCTTTTGATGTTGGACTTCACCTTTCTGAAAACCTCGGTTGGAAATAACTCGGGATTTTCTTTATTTATAGTAGCCAAGGGTAATTTGGTCTTTTTCTCAACATCATCTTGTGTAGGTTGTTTGTTCACCGAGTATGGATCATAAGGGGGATGTGGTAAGATGCTGTAAGTTTTAAGTGAGGACACATGTCTTCGTATAGGACTTGAAATATTCTCATGAAGGGTATTATCGGTATTTTGGGGTGAGACACTTTTTAGATTATTTTGGTGAAGGGTATTATCGGTATTTTGGGGTGAGACACTTTTTAGATTATCTTGGTGAAGGGTATTATCGGTATTTTGGGGTGAGACGCTTTTTGGGTTATGGAGATTAACATGGGGAGGGGTATTATCGGAAGAAAAGCTGCAAGGAACAACAGAACACAAAAGGTCCTCCATTGGGGACACACTAAGAGACATATCAGGGGCAGTATGGGAAAGAAAATTACTGTTATTGGTAGTTTTCTGGTGTGTGTCTATATCTTTAGGAGGTATGGTTGATTGAGAAACAGTATTGTCCTGTTTTTGTATGGCTGAATTCATATCAGGGGCAATATCGGCAGATTCCGAGAAAAAACTTGTTTCATTTAAAGCAAATGGTTTTTCAGGGATTTTGTTGTCTGTAACTGAAGGAATCCCAACTTCGTTCTGAAAACAAGAAGCAAAACTGATTAGCAAGAAACTTGTACTCATTAAGTCCATTAAATTAGAAAAAGAAATTCCCAAAATACCCCTCACCTTACACGTCCAACAACCAAACCAACGGCTTTGAAATCTATCTTGAATCAAATTTGTCATCTTGCCTTCATTTTCTAACACAACCTGCTAACCATAATAAACTTTTATTTCAATTTTCAACTTTAACAACAAATTTTATACATAAAACATATAAAAAAATCTGCTTAAAGATCTTTGATTTACCTTTTTTGTGCAAAAATCAGGTTGCTCAACAGAACAACTAAACATGGGATCAAAATCGCACCCTAGATCAGCATCATGTTCTTTATGTGTATCACCTTCAATAGATTCTAAAACAATTCCTTCTTTTGATAATATCTCTTGTTTTGTGGAAATAGAACTAAATTCAGCTTCTAGGGTTCCATAACTATCTTTAACATGAGATATGGATTCATAACAAGAACCACTGACTGTTAATCCCACATCTTCATATGCATCTGCCATGGTCAACTCATCCAAATCCGAAAGAAAGTCAACCTCATACTCATTGTCATTGTTTTCCTCAAAATCATCATTAAGTTCCTCCAATCGTGCCTTTTTTACCCTTATTGCAGCTTCAAGAACAGATGAAGGGGTTGAAAGTTGTGAATTTGGTTCATCTTTTACTACCTCGTGGATTATTAATGCTTCTGATGCTGCAACAGCTAGTTCCACTGCATCTGTGATATCAACTTTATGAGATTTCGGGGTTTTCCCATTTTGCCCCTTTAAAGGTTCATGACTGGAAATTCCTGAATTGCCCTTCTGTGGACTTGGATTTTGGGTGTTCTCCTCAGGGGTAACTTTGGATTCTGGAACTGGAAGAGGTTGTAGTTGAGATTTACTTGGAGTTGGATTTGATAAATTTTGAGATTCTTCATTTGATGATAGATGAAGATGGAATCGAATTTCATGCTGAGAAGTGAAACTGAAACTGTTAAAATTCAAAATAATAATCTTAAGTAAAACACAGATGAAAATGATGAATAGAAACTTACATTGCTAGAACATGAAGGAAAATTCATGGTTGAGTTGTCTTCTCCAGATAAAAATAAATGGAAACTCTTACACACACCATTATCACACAAATTCTCATTTTCTATGGTATTCATGTTTTGCTGAAGGCATCCAATGTCCTAATCATTATAATAATAAACATCCATTAGATATATGTGCATATAAAGAAGTAATCAGAAAGTTCAAAACATTCTATAATTTTGAACAACGCTCATAAACTCCTAGCACTTTACTGATTAATCAAACACATGATTTCTAGAGGTGAAAACTTGCCTAGAAGATTCAGATTGACGAAGTGTATTTCTTCTGATTTGAGATAATAAGAGAATGTCAAAGCAAATCAAAACGAACAAATATGTTTTGTATAGGTGGGTGTTTTCAGTTTAACGATAATCGTGAAGTATTACACTGAATTGAAAGGAGGAAAGTGAAACTAAAAGGGGAAAACAAGAAGAAAATCCTACCTCGAGCCTTTGCCCTGAAGAACATTGAAACGCTTGATTGCTCGCCTCCCTTATCGAGGAAGACTGAAGCCAACCCGGAAGCCATGCTGCTTCCTGTAATAAGATAGGAGAAATATATTTCGCATACTTAAATCTACAACCATGTATCAAACCTAATTTTCAGAACGAAAAGAGATATCCACACAAAAAATACACGATAAATGAGAAAGAACATACCTCAGAGAAGTGAGGAGGATGAAACCCTAGTAAGCTATGCATCGTGTTCTACGGTGTGAATCCTTGGCGCCAATATTTTCAGGTCGGAGCGAATGGGGGCGGGGTTAAAGAATTGAAGAATTATTTATGGAATTGAGTTAAAACTTTTTTTCAATTTATATAATAATGTTTCTTACAAATCTATAAATTTATGGGATATTGATTACACTAAAAGATGTGTTTGAAAATACTTATAAAGGAGGTGTTTAAAAAAAGAATAATTAAATTTTTTTGGTTTTAAAAAAAATGTTTATTCATACATAATAATTTTTTTTCATACGTAACAATTTTTTTCCGAACATTATATTTTGTAGTTGATATTTTAGAGTTGTCGTTTAAACATTGTTGCAAATGTATTTGTGTTTGTAAAAATGTATTTTTCTAAAGTTATGAGACATCATTCATCTAACACTATAATAAATTAGACTAACAAATTCATACCTACCATTTTACTATTTTATTATCATAAAACATTCACCTCACTATTTATGATTTCTCACCTACAACTCATATTTAGAATCCTTTTAAATCCGTTTGGAGTCGAACATAATTCAAACCAAAAGTAATTCATAACATATTTCAAAACAAAAGTCATTAAGTTATTCTTTGAAAATATCCTTCGACCGGTCGTAAGTCTTGGGGCATCTCCGAAACTACGGGGAAGATGTTAGAAGCCAAAGAAGCAAAGTGCATAGAAATAAATGTGGAAAATAAGGTACTCGAGCAACAAATGCATGATAAGCTACGAGTCATTAGAAACAAGAAAAAGTGGATAATGTACACGAAGAAAGAAATCCAAGCCATGATAAAGAAAATCATTAGTAGACCGTGAAAATGTAGATTATGATTTTTGGCAAATTCATGAGAAAATGTATTGAATGAAAGCATGGGTTAATAAAGAGAAAACGAAACTACCTTATTTAGTTTGTGGATTTTCTAATTATTCATTAGTTGATTTACATTTAGTGCAAGATTTGTATATGTATCCATCAATCTTATATATATATATATATATATATATATATATATATATATATATATATATATATATATATATATATATATATTGGGCTAGGTTATAATGTGGATGACATCTATTGTGTGGTCGTAAAGACAATTCTAGACCAATAGATGAAAAAAATGATTGACTATGATATGAGGGTCTATGATATGATAATGGATTAACATGTACCATATATTTACACAAAATTAATTGTAAGGGTATTTTAGTCAATTGAACTATATTTAAAAAATGAAAATTTCAGATTTAAAGGAATAATTAATTCTCCTAATTTTAAAATTATGATTTTTTTTAAAATTAATTTAGTTTAAATTCTACTATAATTTTTAATTATAACTGGTTTTATTCTATCAGAATACCATTATGTTAGAATGTATTCTATGAGAATGTTAGCTATAAACTAAAAAATATATTTGAATCTTGGAAGCTTGAGTTTTTGTCTAGTAAGAACGAATATCAGATTATTATTTAATCATTTTCCAAGAATGAGTCGAATGACATAACATTTGAATGGTAAAAATATGAATATAAAAGATATATTCTTGCAAAATCTGTTTACAATTTTATAAAATGAACTTAAAATACAATTATAAACTGAAATACTTCAAAAGAATAAAATATCTTAAAAGACATTCTTGAAATTCTAGAAAGAATCATCTTCACCTTCTTGGTTCGTTTCCAACATGTATGTAAGCAAGCACAAAACTAAGCTTCATTTTTGAAATATTCTATGTTATTGACGTTTCCAACATGTATGTAAGCAAGCACAAAACTAAGCTTCATTTTTGAAATATTCTATGTCATTGACCTGCAAACAAAATAAGATCTATTCTGTAAGAATGATGTAGAATTTTTTTAGCATTAATTACAAAAACCAAAACACAAATAGTATAAAAATCAAACTATACATTCGCCATGAGCATTCTAAATTCAGTACAATCTAAAAAAAACTATAAATTTTGATAGAACATGGTAGACATTAAAGAATTATAATTTATTGTTAACTACACAATACAAGCATTCTGATAGAATGTGCGATAAAATGTGATACATGTTCTATGTAACTTTGATCCTTATTCAATTTTCACTTGATTTCATCCATAATTGATTTAGCTATCTTTCTTCCAAATCGAATTCTATGAGAATAACATTCTCGAATCATCTAATCATAAAATAAATTAAAAAAAAATGTGCCAACATAATAAAAATTGATGACAAATTAATCAATAATCAAAAATTCATTGTATGTACAAAGTTCATGTGTAATATTATATATATATATATATATATATATATATATATATATATATATATATATATATATATATATATATATAGAAAAGTTCAATAGAGAACTATTATTAATCAAGAAACCAAGGAACCAATCCAAAGCGTCAAAATTTAAAGCGATCAACGGCAAAAGGAAGGGTTGTAGACTTTTACAATTGACGCACATGCACCGGATAATAAAAAAACTCACTTCCTTTTTTTCGTTTAAAATTTTTTTTAGGCCATGTTTTTTATCGAAAAAAAAACCGAGTATACCGTTGTTCACGATTTTTCGTCCTCTTTCCAAAGAGATCCATGATGATATATAAAAAACGAACTTTTTTTTTTCGAAAAAAACTCACTTCATTTTCTTTGTTCAAAAGTTAAGGTCTATTCTTTATAGAAAAAAAATTAATAAATATATCAAAATTCATGTTTTTTTTTGTACTTTTTAAACATACATTCATATTCATGTAAAAAAAACGATATTTCAGTTCAGATTTACATTGTGAACCTGTTCAAATTCATATTCTGAACTTGTTTAGATTCACATTGTGAACCTTCTCAAATTCATAGCGTGCATAATAGTAAGTCAGATTCACAATGTGAATCTGAACTGATCGAGCCTTTTTACATTGTGAATGTTAGAAATTAAAATATTTACAGTTTAGATTCACAGTGTGAATCTACACCGATCGATGTTTTTTTTTGTGAACCTTTTCAGATTCATAGCGTGCATAATAGCAAGTCAGATTCACAATGTGAATCTGAACTGATCGAGCATTTTCACATTGTGAATGTTAAAAATTGAAATATTTACAGTTTAGATTCACAGTGTAAATCTACACTGATCGAAGTTTTTTTTGTGAACCTTTTCAGATTCATAGTGTGCATAATAGCAAGTCAGATTCACAATGTGAATATGAACTGATCGAACTTTTTCACATTGTGAATGTTAAAAATTAAAATATTTACAGTTTAGATTCACAGTGTGAATCTACACTTATCAATGTTTTTTTTTTCTAGTCGGTGTTGATGTTTATTAATAGATTACAAAAAATTAATATTGTTTGATATAATTAGTTTTTTTGATAAAAATAAACTTAAATATTGAAAAAACTAACAAAATGAAGTGGGTTTTTTTTGAAAAAAAAGTTCGTTTTTTATATATCATCATGGATCTCTATGGAAAGAGGATGAAAAATCGAGAACAACGGTATATTCGTTTTTTTTTTCGATAAAGAATGTGACCTAAAAAAAATTTAAAACGAAAAAAAGAGATGAGTTTTTTGGTAAGGAGGTGAATTTTTTGGTATAATCCGGTATGTGTGCGTCCAATGTACAAGTGTACATCATTTCCTTGGCCGTTAATCATTATGATTTCCGACGCTCACGATTGGTTCCTTGTTAATTATGGTTTTCTATTGAACCTCACTATATATATATATATATATATATATATATATATATATATATATATATATATATATATATATATATATATATATATATATGCTGGAAATAGTTCTCAGTCAGTCACACAACAGTCTGGTAATATTATTATTAATAACAGGGTCATTTTGGATTACATGTAAGAACAAAATTAAACAATAGTTGAAAAGAGAAAATATTGAAGATCCAGTTTGTTAATTTTTTTAGTATTCAATATATTAATAAAAACTTGTAAACCTCAAGGGTTTAAAGTATAAGATTTGAATTTTAAATCTTATGGGTAATTCCTATTTATTCCATTTGACAGATTCCATTAGAATTGCCATTTAATGCTCATAATCACCTCATGGTGTATTAGAATCACTTTGATAAATGAATCATAACAACAATCAATTAAAAATGTCTAATATAATGATAGATGATTTTGATCCATAAGGATTCAAGCTATTGTATAAGTGTACAAATTCTCACAAATTAGGCCGCCAATTCCCGAATACCATCCTTAGGGATGGAATTACACATTCTAATGGTGTTATGGTGATTCATTGGTTATTACTTACAAAAAATAGCATCAATACATACACAAAACTAAAAACTAATGATAAAAATTGAATTCCTCTTCCATAACTAGTGTTTATGGCTGCAATCAAGTTAATCAATCCAAAAAACCAAATAATTAGAGTTTTAGATTTATGAACTAAAGGTTAAATTCAAATAGAAAATCTATTTAAATACTTAATTTCACACAAACTTCATATTTTATTTGAGTTCCAAACCCTAAATTGATCTTAAAATGTTGAGAAAAAATAAGTTTTATACCTTGGAATGCTCAAATGATGAAACCCTAGCTTCAATTATTCCAAAGACCTTTTGATTCCACTTCAAAAACTCTAGATCTTAAGAAGCCGCGATGATTAACCTCTCCCCCCTTTCTCTCGACCGGACACTACCTAATGGAGAAAGAGTGAAGCTAGTTACTCTTATAGTTTTGGTGTTTTGACAACTAAGGCCCATCATCTACTAATGCTTTCATTTAGACTATTAGTTGACCTAGATGCTTGGTCAACAATTCATACGATTTGAACTAACCCCATCCCTATTAAATTTATTATCATTTTAGTCTCTAGATCAAGATATGACTAACTGACACTGGTTTGGCTAGTTGACATTTTTTTACCCTAACTTCCATATTTTCAATTTAAGGCCATAATAGATTATCACGGATTCATAGTTATTCTTTATATTGCTAACGGATTATTCATTTAAGAATTATAAACCTATTTTATTTATTAATTTAATCTATTTATCTTATTTTATATTTCAATTTGTAACACCTAACTTTTTTATAAAATTTAATACTATGGTTTTAAAACATTTCCTGACGGGTGGACCCATAATGTTTTCGAAGAGGGGGCAAAAAATAATTTAATTTCTTTTATGAGGGCAAAAAAAATTAAAGAGTAAAAATATGTTATTTTGAAAGGGCATAATAATTTTTTTAAAAAAATATACCTAATTTTTTTTATTATTTTTTTTGTTGTGGGGGCAAGTGCCCCCACTGCCCCCATTGTAGGTCCGCCTATGCTGACATCTAGCAACATTTATCAAAACATGGTCCCAAAATTTTCATCGCAAAACAATTTGTAATAGTTTACAAAAGACATAAATTCGGTGTTACAAATTATACAAACAAAACTATTGTAAAAACAGTGAATATACATATATTACGTCCAATTTTTATCATTCAAAAGTCCATTGTTATCAATACAATCCCAATCTTCTAGCACTTTGTATCTAAACTTGGAATGCATGACATTAGATAAAAAAATATGTAATACAATAATTTCTCGTGAGCTACATAGGTTTAGACACAAAAATATGATCAATCGTTTGAAAAAAATATTTCATTTTGTTCTACTTCATGCGATGTATCACATATGCAATGCATGATCACAATCAAACCAAAATCTTATGGGCCTTCCCATTTCTTGCCTCTATATTGACATACTATCATTTGGTTATGTATTCAGCCAAACCACCTTAGGGTTAATCATAATATGACACCCTATCAGCTTTACCAATTATCAACTTTACCAAAATAGGAAGAACAAATCTACACATAAAGGTATCCCTTGACATCTACCTTGTGAAGGTATATGGTCTGAGTAGATTCATCCCTTATATTGTTCTTCGGATATCACAATTGTCCAGACATTACTTTATATTATGCATTCACATTTAATGTATGTATGATCACCGTTTTTTGTTTGGAGACTCAATCACATACATATGTCATGTTTTATCTAGAAAACATTAATAACTTGCATAGTATAAACAATTTATCATATAAAAATATTAAAAAATTTAAAACATTTATGATAAACTCATATCATACATTTGTCTTTCATAATCACATACAACCAATACCTACTCTTGTAAATTGTAAAAAGTTCATTTATTCAGGTCATTTATTTTTCCAAACTTTAGTTTACTCTTTTAAAAAGAGTTCACATGATTATGGATCAAAAAAATTTACTTTCAAGGCTATTTCAAATACTTTCTAGCTCTTTTAAAGAGTTCACTTAAACCAATTTTAATGATCATAATAACAACTTCAAATAACCGTATTGACACATACAATATATCAATTTAATTTGGTACTCTATATTTACTAACCTTTTTCCGTTTTGACCAAAATATCCTTCTACATTATAAACCTTTCATCTATTTATCTGATTTTATGTTACAATCAATTAATTAATTGTTTTTATTTTTATTTTTACTAAAATAACCTAAGTTATTCTGGGCCGAAAATCAAGGTGTTACAACGACTCTTATAATATGGATTCTATTTTGGTTAACGATAGAATTGAGCGTGGGCTACGACAAGGTCACCCACTTTCCATGTATTCTTAAGCAAAATAGAATTCGGGTATGTTTTACAATCTCAATGTTTGAAACAAAAATGGCTTGGGTCACATTTCAAATTGGCTTCTAAGTATTCTTAAGCAAAATAGAATTCGATATTCGTTCAACTTCAGAGTAGAGATTTGGATTCGGGTATGTTTTACAATCTCAATGTTTGAAACAAAAATGGGCTAAATTTTGGGATGATGTTCGGGTGGAGGACTGTCTTAGTTTCTTCATCTTCTACCAAGGGGGGAACCGATGAGAATCAATGGTCAGATTTACATGACTTCGTTCACCTTTTATTGCATCATACCAAACGTGTTGATGGGTTTGGAACATAGATCATAATTGTTTTTTTTTTTTGTTTCTTTCGTGAGAGCCTTTTTTTTTTATGATAACACTTTGAGGGTGGCTAGTACTCCAAAGAAATGGAACTCTTGTGTTCCTATCAATGGGCTTTCAAAGAAGCCAAGATCTACTAACTTTAAGCATTGCAAAACAACTTTTCATGCTTTTCAATATCTAAAACCGAATCTACAAATCTTCCGCAAGCAAATAATATTACATAGCAACTTGTTTACACGACAAAAATGATCCAAACAAACACCACTCAAAATCGCAACCTCACCCCTCATATATACATACACCAACAACCACTTTAAGCCCAACCCGAATGTACCAAAAAGTAGGGTTTGGTTAGACCCGATGCCACATAAGAAACGGGCTCAAAGTGTTCACACCCTTACTACCACTATTGTGTATCTTGCTAGGGCTTTTTACAAAGAGAATACCAAATCACAAAAGGAACAACCTTTTTAGAAGTTAGTAATAATTAGTAGGCGATTGATGATGGGTCGGACCCACCCTGACTTGGAACTTCCGCATCATCATCATAATCCGTTTGATTTTGACAACATAAGTCTATGTGTTGTTGATCATCGGTTTCTTCAAAATCGAATTTATTGAACATGAGATTGGCTACAGCTCTATCGATGACGTTTGTTTTTGATTCGGAAGCTTCTGGTTCTACGACCCTGAGTGCCATAAGAAGATGCGACTATTAGGATTATCATCGATTCTCAATTTTTTTTTTTGTTTCTTATAAGATATTATAACATTATATTTTATACAAAAATCCAATTTTAGCAATGTTATCAATATTCAAAGTAACACGTATTGCTAAAATCAAGTAGGTTTTTCAAGATACAATGTCGTAATATGACAAATTTGGAAGAACAATGTTACAATTTGGTGGATTTTTCATATGGTCTTATAAAAGAAAAAGAAAATGTAATTAAGCGGATTTTCTAAAATACATCAAAACAATAAAAATAAAATCTCTTTTTATTTTTCATCACGAAAAAAAAGGAGCTTAATTTTTTATCAAAACCACCCAAGATCCAAAACCAATGAAAACCCATTATTAATCACAATGGCAAAACATTGCAAAAATGTTAAACTTAAGAGGACAAAAACGTAATTTCACACGTTACACATACCTCATTGTGTCATCATTAGAAGTCAACATGAGTTCTCCATCTTGGCACGAGTTAAGTGATTGTTTAGAGCTTTCTGCTAAGCGATAGAAAGCATCTCGAAAGCAAATTCTAGTTTTATCATTGAACTGTTGAATTAAATACAATAAAAAAAATATGTTATTAATTTTCTTCAAAAGTTTGAGAGAAATTTGAAATTCCAATTGTGCCCCTATTAGTCTCTCACCTGTGAAGTCACCCTTTCGAGATCTTTCAATACTGATTCTTCCGTTAAGTTCTCATCACTTGTATACTGCTATAAAAAGTTAAAAACAAACATCAGCAATTGTATATCAATAATTACATAAAAAAATAAAAAGAAGAGTTAATTATATACCTTTGGCATTTGACAAGTAGTTGAAACTTCTCTATTACCCCAATCACTTGATGGAGAGAAGGCGTGTGTTTTGAGATATTTCGAGCTTCCAATGCTTTGCCCATGGTTTCCAACGTGTGAATTTACCATATTGTCCTCAAACATGCTAACATTGTTGTCAAGAATCATGTTGTCATGTTCCTCGGTTGAATCTTTAGTTGGATCTTCTTCAAGTAGTGAACTACTGCAAAAGATAGAAGAAAGTATACCATAAGAATCCAAACACAACTTCTATTGAAATAAATTAAATGTATTCCATTTCCATTTTTTTTTTCTATTGCAACATTGGAATTTCAAGATTTTCTCTTATTAGAAGATTATACTTTTTCAAAGTATATGATGTTGTAATAGGAATAAATGAAAGAAGGATGCTGAAATAAACATGTCGATGAAAGTATGCTTCTATTTATTTCATTTAAACCATTTAAAAAAATAATGATAAGAGACATTAAATCAAGAATCTTGATGCGAAAAGTTGAAAATGTACAAGAAAATGTCATCCATGTGATTGATTCTGGCTTCTTCCTCTTCAAATTGTTGAAAATCTGCTTGATCATTCCATAAAAGCGAACCACCATTGTTGTAGAGTCCTTGGCTCATGCTTGAAGTGTTGGATTTCTGTCTTTCATTATCTGAATCCGCCATGTCAATTGAAGTGTAAAAGTTTTTTCCACCATTGAAGGTGAGTTCTTCACGTGTCATGTTTATGTTCTTTTTGGGAAAAGATGAACCTCCAAAAGCATTCATTCCCCATTGCGACCAATTTTCACCAGATGATATCATCTCTTGTTGTTCGTAGTCTTTTGGAACAACAAGATCTTCAACTTCGTTACCAAAATACCACTCCATAGTATCTGTCATAAATCCGAAAACCAAAAAGAAAAATCCATCAAGATCTATAAGATCAGAATAGTATTAGAGAATTAATTTATATTCTTCAAAAACCCAGCTTCAAAAAGCTTGATTTGAACAGATCTTAGAAGCTCGTTTGGATAAAACTTATTAACACTAAAGTCAAACTAAAATCATTAGTTTATAGGCTCAAAAAGGAGAAAAGAATTAGTTAATTAAGATTAAAGCAACCAAATTGGGCGTATACTAGAGCAGCTGTCGATCAAATAAGGAAAGAAAAAACAAAGCAGTAAATTGCGAAATTGAACACAGCCCACATGAATGGAATCGAATAAAAAAATGGATAAGAACTCAAAATAAAAAAAACACCCAGACAAGAAAAAGCGATCGAAGCTGGTAAATCGAAAGTGTTTTTGATTTAAGAGATAAAGATTATGAGGAACAGCAAGAGGGGATTAAGAAACAGATCAAAACAAGTGATTCTAACCGATAAATCAAAAGGGTTTTCGAAGTCAAATCGAGAGAAACTTGCAAAATCGGTACGAAAAGATGCTGAAATTAGAAACCGGATACAACCGAGCTGAAAACAAGCGATTGAAACCAATGAATCAAAAGGGTTTATGGAGTTCAAGTAGAAAGATAGAGATAACGAAGAACATAAACCAGTATATCTTGAAAATTTTAACACAACTCACCTGAATAGAGTCGAATGAAGAAGTAGATAAAATGAATGAATCAGATCAGGAAACAAAAGGGTTTCTTTAAATCAAGGCGGCTGTGGTTTTGGGTTTTTGGGGTTGTGGGTGGGAAATTGCAGGATTGTAGACTGTTGATTCTTGTGTGTGGGGTGAAGAGAGAGAGAGTAAGAAGAGTTGTTTATTTGATGGTTTGTGTGGTGTGAGATTTTGTGGCTGAAAATGGTGGGAGAGAATTAGTGGTTGATAGCAGAGGTCCATCTAAATCTGCGATCTCCTTTATCCACGTAGGTTTATGTGGGACCAACGACGAGAACTCCAATAAATCTCTTTTTTCTGCATTAATGCTATCTCTTATCTACTTATCTTAGGGTGTAAGGAGGTGTATTCCTCTCACTTCTCCGTTTTTACTTTACTCTGTAATCTGAGAATCTCTTCCCCTATTATTAATGATATCTCTTATCTAGTTTTGTATTTTTTTTTTCTAGGAGAGATTACTGATTTTATTTTTATTTATTATTATTTTTTTTTGTGAATAAGGTTTGTTTTTTTTTAAGGATGTTGTGTGTAACATGTTATTGCATGTTAACACGTTTAAAAAGTGTCACATCATCATTCTAGTTATATATGAGTGTTATAACATCAAATGTGAAAATAGGCAACATCAAATAACATGTAATTTTTTAATGTTTTTAATTTCTATATTTCCAATTTTTTTTATTTATGTCATAATATTTATAACTATCATATAAATTAAATCATAAATTAAAAATAACATTTAAAAAGTAAAAATAAAATTTTAAATCCTAAACTAAAAACAACATAAAAAAATTACAACTAAGGATAAAAACATTTAAAAACCTAAATACCAAAAAAAAGACGAAAGAAATTACATTTTTGACCTAAATTATTCATCTTTAGTGTCATCGTAGATATGATCTGCCAAGTCTTCTCGAAGTTGTGTTTTCGTTGGTCTTGAATATCAACGACTCTATGTAAGTATTATGTTGTCCCTGATTGAAATTGAATGTGTCCAGGTTCCGTAGGCGAATACTCCGTAATGTTTCGTCATTTATCTTCAATCACCATGTTATACATTATGATACATGCATACATAATATCTCGTAGAGTGTCCAACTCATATGGTCGTGTCGTATGTTCAACTATGTGTCATTTTGCTTTCAGAACTCTGAAAGTATGTTCCACGTCCTTACGTGCTCCTTTTTGTCTTCTCTTGAAAATTTTGTCTCTTGGTTGTATCGGATGTCAAAACGCCTTCACAAACGTGGAATATGGTGGGTATATTCCATCCGTGAGGTAATACCCAAACTTATACGCATGACCATTTACTGTGAAAGGAGCATCTGGTGCCTTTCCTATCAAAAGGTCCTGAAATCTTGATGACTAATAAAAACCGTTTACGTCGTTGTTAGAACCCGCAACTCCGAAAAAAGCATGCTAAATCCACAAGTCTTCTGACGCAACAGCCTCTAATACTAACGAAAGTGATCAAAGATGACCATTTGTGTATTGACCTGTCGACGCCACAAGACAATTTCTCCATATCCACTTTGTGCAATCAATGCTTCCACGCATTCCCGGAAAACCATGTCGTTCTTCATGCGCCGCATATAGTTATTGCATGTCATTCAATAAAGGTTTGCGCAAGTATTTGTCACCGAAGGTTTCGATAACACCTCTCGTCAATCTATATAAACTTTCTCGTGCAGTTCGCTCTGACATTCTCATATAGTCATCAATAGAATCGGGCGACTCCCCCAAAGTCATAAGCTTGATTGCAGCAACACATTTTTGCAACCCTGTAAAACCTCGTTTACCTCTCGCATCATACCTCATTTGGAAATATTCATACCTAAACATATATTTAATTTTTAAAACAATTATTTAATAATCCAAAGATCATATATTTAATTTTTAAAATAATTATTTAATAATCTAAAGAACATATATTTGTTTTTAAAACAATTATTTAATAATCTAAAGAACATATATTTAATTTTTAAAACAATTATTTAATAATCTAAAGAACATATATTTAATTTTTAAAACAATTATTTAATAATCTAAGGAACATATATTTAAATTTTAAAACAACTGTAATTACGGTAACTGCTTTCCATTGCATTGGCTATCCGTTGAAACACATTTTTCCGCAAACGAAACTTTCTTTTAAAATCATAAGGTTGGTAGACACAATTATCCGCAAAATAATCGTGTACTAGACGTCTATGCCCTTCTTCACGATCTCTGTTCAACGCCGCACGTCTGGTCAGTAGTAGAGCTGGCTCTGGCGGTAGCATCTCTGTAGCATATCGGTACATCATACCCACGAACATATCATCCTCGTCGATATCATGATTGTATGGATGGAACAGATCAAAATGATCCATTTTTTGTAAATAGAAATATAGAAAATATAATAAACTTGATAGAAATGTGTATTTGAGAGAATTTGATAAATTTTGTATGTAAAACTTTGAAGTTAATATATATATATATATATATATATATATATATATATATATATATATATATATATATATAGGAATTAAAGTGAATTTTTTTATTCGTGACTGTTCCCCTTCGGTCGAAAAGTAGATCGTTTCATGCGTTTCGTCTGGTTACCGCTGAATAACGGGGATTGGGGCGGTGTTCCGCCCGTTATACTGACGTTATTTGGATGTTACGTCGGAATAACGACTTATGTCGTTGCCCGCTCCCACCCGTCTAAGAAAAATATTCATCTAAAAAGGTATATGTGATTATTTCAAGTTTCCATAATATCCTTGATAATTTTAATTATTTATTTTTATATCTTTATAAATTATAACATTTACATCTATACCTAAATTAAGTTTGTTCGTTTGTCTTCTCACTCGTTGTATTGTGATAACTATGTTTTTTTTCCTAATAAAAAAAAATTATAAAATAAATCTAATACTGAAAAACTTATCTAAAATCCAAAATATCATATATATATATATATATATATATATATATATATATATTTCAAGTTTCCATTATATCTTTATAAATTATAACATTTACATCTATATCTAAAGGGTTTAGGTCATTTTTAATCACTTAACTTTTGACTTTGTGCTCATTTGATCACTTAATTCATTTTAAGTTTTAAAAGGTCACCAAACTTTTGGCTTCGTGCTCATTTAGTCACCTAACTTTTGGTTTGGTCACTTAACTTTTGGATTTGTGCTAATTTAGTCACCTAACTTTTAAAATTGTGCTCATTTAGTCACCTAACTTTTAAAATTTTGCTCATTTTTATAGCTTTATTTTAAAAGTTTAGTGACTAAATGAGCACAATTTTAAAAGTTAGGTGACTAAATGAGCACAAATCCAAAAGTTAAGTGACCAAACCAAAAGTTAGGTGACTAAATGAGTACAAAACCAAAAGTTAGATGACCTTTTAAAACTTAAAAAGAGTTAAGTGACAAAATGGGCACAAAACCAAAATTTAAGTGACCAAAAATGACCTAAACCCATATCTAAATTAAGTTTGTCCGTTTGTCTTCTCACTCATTGTATTGTGATAACTATATTTTTTTTTCTAATAAAAAAATTTATAAAATAAATCTAATATTGAAAAACTTATCTAAAATCCAAAATATCATATGATATTACTAAACTGGTATTCTCCATCAAAGATTAGGATTAAACAAAGTTGATTATAATTAAACCAATTTAATTTTAGAAGCATCAATCATTCAACATTATTTTTTTTAAAAACAAAATCGACAAAAATATATTCAAAATGTGAAAACATGTTAATAAATAGACACAAGTCATAAAATTACATTATACAATATAAATACCAACGTAAAATGAATCTAGGAAAAGAAAAAAAAATTGTAATGTCAATGTTGGTTTAAATTGTTTGATATTATTAATTTTATTAATCAAATAATAACATAATCTTATTCAACCGACTTAATATACATTTTTGTAATCGACAATCCTTTTTTAACTGTAATACCCCTCTTTCAGGATGAATCTAATTAGGGTTTCAAGGAGTCAAAAGGTTGGATTTTAGAAAAAATGGGTCTCACGACGTGATATAGGTAATATGAAAACTTTTGTTCGGGACTGGTCTCACGACGTGAGACATAGAGGCTCACGATGTGAGAGCTGATGCAGCCCAAACCCATGATCTTTTAGGGTTTCCTTTGTATTTAAGCACCTCTAAACCTATTTTAAGGTTCCTTATCAGCCTCCAAACCCTCTTTCACCTCAGAAAAACCTAATCTTCATCCATTGCTTGATCTTTGGTCATTG